CATAATACCCTGGTACTTTTCTTCCTATAAATTAATAATAATAGCACGGTCCACGTGGTGTTAAATGGGGTTCCTGAGGTTCGTGAAGTTTGACCCACCTTGAGACATGAGGTCGATTTCTCAAATCCGAAACCATGCTTCAGAACATACCGCCGTTAATTATTAATAAATCTCTTTGCTATCATAATACCCTGGTACTTTTCTTCCTATTATTTTACGTAATAACAGTAATAAATAGCACGGTCCACGTGATATTATTAAGTGGGCTCCCTGAGATTATTGGAATTACAAAATGATTTCCGTAATCCACCTGGAGACATGAGGTCAATTTCTCAAATCGGAATCCATACTTCAGAACATACAGCCGTTAATTAATAAAGAAGGCTGTACGTCAGAGTAAAGTTATAATAATACATCTCTTTGATATCATAATACCCTGGTACTTTTCTTCCTATTATTTTACGTAATAACAATAATAGCACGGTCCACGTGATATTAAGTGGGTTACCTGGGATTATTGCAATTACAAAATGTATTCCGTGACCCACCTTGAGACATGAGGTCGGTTTCTCAAATGCGCATCCATACTTCAGAACATACAGCCGTTAATTAAAAGATGGCGCGTAACGGAAAAATGTGACGCGTAACCGAAAAATGTGACGGTAAATTTTTTTCCAACGCCGATAAGGAAGTTTCACTTCAATAAAAATTAAGCGTATAAAGTAAGGTATGTAGGTGTGGAGTCGGTACCTATATCGCACATGCAGCTGTGCATCCCCTGCGTCTCGCAGTACGGCATGCACGTGCCGTTGCGGCACCGGCCCCGCTCCGCACACTCGTGCTCGTCCGCGATGGCGGGCGCCTGACGCACGCGCAACACAATATTAACTAACTCGTTAATTAAATAAAGAATCTCATTACAACCTAGGTTCGCGGGGACCACAGGAGCATCTTTTTTATTTTTATTACTTTGATGGGTGGAGGAGCTCACAGCCCACCTGATGTTAAGTGGTTATGGGAGCCCGTGGACATCATACCTTGAGATATAGTTACAACGGCTGTCCCACCGTTCAAACCGAAACGAGTTACTGCTTCACGGCAGAAATAGGCAGGGTGGTGGAACCTACCCGTGCGGACTCAGAAGAGGTCTTACCACCTTTGAATGGTCATACAAAATTTAAATGACCTTGGTTCATTTATCAGATCTATTTGAAACTATTTTATTAAAAAATTGATGGAAAGGGGAATGCCCATTTCAAGCCCAAAGCGGACAATAGATTATAGAAAAAATACTTAGTGCATTTATTTTGTCTTGAATAAATATGCATTTACTTTCTTCCAAATGAGCGCCACTACAGTTTACAAAAAGTAGTTTAAAAAAAGTAAATCTATTGAAAAAACAAGGTTTTTGCTTTTTGCGGGAAAAATATTGCCAGCATCAAAACTTTTACGTATTAAGTTAACATTTTAAGTATATAAATAAAACATTTTCAGTATTTGAGAATACTTAAAATGTTTTATTTATATGTTTTATATTATATTAATGTGTTAATAAATCGATTTTAATCGATTACAAGCACATAAAATAACATTAAAGACATACCCATTGGACTTTAACTTGTAACTATACTTGAGATCTTAGAACTTATATCTCAAGGTGGGTGGCGCATTTACGTTGTAAATGTCTATGGGTTCCAGTAACCACAACACCAGGTTGGCTGTGAGCTCGTCCACCCATCTAAGGAATAAAGAAAAACTTTACTAGTATTGTTATTTAAATATGTACAACTAAAACAAAAACATAAAAAATAAAAAAATATGTGTACTCGTAAAAAAAAAATTAAGAAAAATAAATCAACTATCGGTTATTTAAAAAAATAATCGATATATGAATTTGATGTAATTATTTTCCGTTATACTGACAACACTGAATTTAATCTGACTGACTGACACTTCGCAGTTCGCTTGCTGCTTGTGCTAACGTTCAAAATGGATGTGTTTTGATTTTTCGTTGATTTATTTTACTGGCTTTGTTTTATGGATTTTATCATCCCTTCAACGACGACTTTGGCTCAGGAGTTAAGGATCACAGCTACATTCGATTATGGATGCCGATCATTAACGTTTCATACTACGACTGAAAAACATTGTGTGAATTGTGGTTTTAACCTGACCGAGATTCAAAACCATACATTGGATAAAAATACCTTTTTTTTTTTTTTTTTCCACAGGAGAAAATCGCCGGATCCCCACCCGCGCGGCAGGTGGGGTATGTGGGAGTTGAACCTCACTAAAAACTCCTGCCGCTCACAACCGGCGCCCTACCTCGGACCGGGCCGGAGCCCAGTCGGGGCTATTGAAACGGCGGGACAGGGTTGACGCAGAGCACATTACATCCATCCCACCGTCCCACGGACGCCGGACCGGTGGCCGCCAGCGAAACGACCACCGGTTCCCTCGTTCAGCGGGCCGAGAGCCCGCTTTGATGGCGCCGCGTTACACCTTCCCCCAGAGCGGTCGGGGGAACGCGGTCTACCATCACCCGGCTTCCTATTGCGGGTGAGCGTGCAGAGCACGCCACCCCTCGTCTGGGTCTCTCCCCGCACAAAACGGGTGGGACCCCTAGCTCTTAGGGGGCCAGGTCACGGATACGACCCCGGTCCCGACCCCCTGCTCGGCGGCGGCGGGTTTCTGCGTAGTGAGGAGAGCTTTCCCTCACTCGCCCCGCCGCCTCCTTCTGCGAGATGGTGCACTCGCAGAAGTCGAGCATAGCCTTCCATGACTCATCGCTGCCAAGCATCGACGCCACGACGCCAGGCAGCGACAAGTCAGGTCCTATCTTTGCGACCAGGACACGGCGCTGCACCTCCCAAGCGGGGCAGACAGCGAGCGTATGCTCCGCCGTGTCCAGGTCGTGTCCACAATGGTGACACCTCGTCGTCGGCTCAGCCCCTGATAAAAATACCTTAGGAACATCTCTCTTATCATAATTAATAAATTAAACATTAAGAAAAGAAAAGTTCTTTCTAAAAATTAATGTTTTGCTTGCTTGTTTTTTCAATAGAGTTACTTTTTTTAAACTACTTATTGTAAACTGTAGTGGCGGTCATTTGGAAGAAAGTAAATGCATATTTATTTATGACAAAATTAATGCACTAAGTATTTTTTCTCTAATCTATTGTCCGCTTTGGGCCTGAAATGGGCATTCCCCTTTCATACTCCTCCGTCCGCGCAATTTTCGTAAAAAGGGATACAAAGTTTTTCCTTCACGTATTAATTATAGATTTTATTATTACCTTGGGGCAGTCGGCGGAGGCTCCGTTGCAGATGGCCTCCCCCTCGCAGGCGGAGTGCGCGGCCTCCCGGCACACGAGCCCGGGCGGCGCGAACACACAGCCGGCGCAGCACGGGGAGTTCTTGTCGCTGTCGACAGACAACACACCACGTTTTGTTTTGTTTAGAAGAAGGACGCGGGACTTATGTGGATACTCCGCGTTTTTTTTCTTGCTTTATTGTTTTTTCTTTTTCCAGGGACTTGTAATTTTATTGGTAATTTTTAATTTGTAATTTGTAATTTTGTTTTCAATAGCCAATTTGGAGGCTATGTATATTAATACGAGTATGCTGAGTGCATATATCATTTAGGTTTCAATCCAGGTATTATTTGTACGATTTAGTTAATATGTAATATATTGTTATGATTATGTGTTTTGGGCATCAGTAAAAAAAAAGAAGCAAAGTAACACAATTCGAGAAAGGGTCTGTTCCACAAAACTATATTGAGCAGTGAAACCCTATTCGGTTTAAGAGACATTTCGTTTAATACGGGACATTTATCTTAGTAATTAAAGGTGCGTTTTGTTTGGTATTAGCATCATAGCATTTGCTGTTTTAAATTGAACTTGAATTGAAGTTTACTACATTCAAATATCTGAAAAAGTTTTTTTGCTATGATAACTTTTCTCTAAATTTTTAAACTTTAAAAGGCTCTCTTGTAAAGTAGTAAAAAATGTCAATTAAACAGTTTTAATTTTTAAAAGCTATGTATTCAAATTCTGATTTTTTTAATTTTCGTCATTTTCTGTTTCGCTTTGATATCAGAATTAAAGGGGGTATTATCATAACTTTAATTTTACTTGGTCACCATGCGTCTGGACACTTCCTCCTGTCTTTTTTAAAGCGAAAACTTCCCTAGCACTTTTGGTTTGAGACTTAACAAAATGAAAAAGCAACATCTCCAAAAGACAAACATGATGCCCTAATTTGCATGATAAATGATGATTTAATGTTAAATTGATATGTTCATAATTTGGTAAAGTATTTCCTTGAAAAATAATTTTTTGTACACGCGCCACATATATGTCAATATAGGTGTATTTAATAAAATAGAATTTTTGTCATTTCAGAATTCTAAAATAACGACTTAAACAAATTAGAGAAAATACTTCCAAATTAGACTACCTATGAATGTACAAGGGCCGAAATTAAATCTATAGTTTGTACCTGCAGACAGCGCCTTGATTTTTTCTCAATTTACAATTCTTATCACAGCACATATCATTGTCTTCAGTACCTGTCGAAAAACATAACATATAATGTAAATATTATTAATTATTCAATAATTTCAACAACAAAAATCTCGTATCGATAATTTTTTTTTTTTTAAAATGTCTAGTTCCAATACACATTTCCAGCATAGAATAGGTGAATCCATGAATACTTTAAACAGTAGAATATACCAAGCAGGCCAGCGTCGCATTCCTCTCCTCCTTCGACACGAAGATTTCCACAAAAACTCTCCTCCGGTTCAGAGAAACATCTTCCAGATTTGGCCTGCAACACTTTTCTGATAGATCTTAGGCTGCACGGTGAAAATCTCTGAAACAAAAGACCTGATAAGTGAAAAAAATTCAATGAATTCCAGTGTTTTTTTTTAACCTAAGTGCCTAATTCCCGGCACGATAAGTGTATCTCGCAATCAACCAAACAACCACCTCTACCAACCTAGTGAGTTATGTCAGCGAGTGAACATCAACTTTTAATTTATATATTGACTGGACGGGTGGGCAATCTCACGGCGCACCTGGTGTTAAGTGGTTACCGGAGCACATAGACATCTACAACGTAAATGCGTCACCCACCTTGAGATATAAGTTCTAAAGTCTCAAGTATAGTTACACCGACTGCCCCACCCTTCAAACCGAAACGCATTACTGCTTTACGGCAGAAATAGGCAGGGTAGTGGTACCGATCCGTGTAGACTCACGAGGCGTCCTACCACAGTACTTACGCAAATTATAATTTAGCCTTATTATTTAAATTTGTATTACACGCTGTTATTCCTTCGCCATGGAAGTCAATCGTGAACATTTGTTAAGTACGTATTTCATTAGGCCTGCGGTATTCGAACACCGTTGCATCGCTCGATATGAATGTACCGGGCGTCTTCGTCTTGTCCAGGCCACAACGACTTCCAACCATGTGTAACCACATATACTGTATTTGGCCTTGGCTCGTTGTATCAAGTCGTATAACCGCTTGGGTAGACGGGTGTCGCCGCCGTGTTACTATTGTTACGTCAATTACCTTGTTGTTGACGTCGTACCCGCTGACGCTGTAAGTGTACATGAGGTAGGAGCCCCCCTGACTGGCGGCCGGGGAGCACTCGGCCACGTCGGGGTCGTGCTCGGAGCCCCAGTTGTGGCCAAACTCGTGCGCCGTCACCAGGTCCGCCTCCCGGGTGATCACGCGCTGCCCGTAATGATTCCGGGACGAACTCAAGCCAGAGTTCAAATATAACGTATATCCGTTCTTGAAATATTCTGTCAATTATACACCATACATGCAGAGCTTAAAAGCTTAAGGTCATACCATACTTACTTCTATTAAAATTAAAATTATATGTTTTGAATAGGTCATAGAAATTTGTTTATTCTCTAACTGGAGTACACTTTTCAATCTATGGTTACATGCATTATGCCAATAAATAAAGCAGAACCTCAAATATTTTCCTCTGCCGCTTATAGTATATAATATTTATAGATCTGGATCAGTTGTAGAATTCTTAGACATCACTATGAGATGCTAGGCTGACCTTGTTAAGACTGACTTTATTGTAATTTTTTGGAATGCATGGACTGTGATGTCTCTACTAATGCAAGAATCAAAATATATATAAATAAAATGAAACACGCAATAAATATATGTAATAATTAAAATAACAAAAAGCAATGCAAAATAAAAGGACACTCACATAAAGCACACCGTAAACTGAAAATAAAACAAAATAATTAGTTCATAATATCCTTCTTTACGGTGTCATCTAATTAATTGATCAGTCATTTATGGCTGATCAATTAATTAAGTGAAGTAACTAACTAAAGTACTACACAATTGAATAATATACCGAATTCATGTATCAAGAAAATAATAAATAATCAAAATAATTTAAAAAAAACACAATAAAACATGCAATTTTATATAACAAACTAAAGAAATGTAAAGGTGATTTTTTTTTTAAAACAAGAAAATGCTATGCCATATATTAAATTCATTAAATCAAGAAAATCTTTCACCAAGACACTGAATATTAAAGGTCGACACAAAACTATTGATGTACAAAAAACTTTTTGGATGATACCTTTTCCATCAAAAAAATATGTAGGTATTATTTTTGTATTTACCTGGGGTGCATATACCACCGACTGAATTTCTACGCGGCGAACCGACATAGGCTAAACCTAAGATGCCGCCTTCGAATTTAAGGTCAGTAAATAAGTGAGCCAAACAGAAGTCTTTGTGTGAATATTCTCGACTGAACACCTACAAATAAAGAACTAAATTAATGTTTTTTTTTGCCTAGATGCGTGGACGAGCTCACAGTCCACCTGGTGTTAAGTGGTTACTGCAACCCATAGACATCTACAACGTAAATGCGCCATACACCTTGAGATATAAGTTCTAAGGTCTCAGTATAGTTACAAAGGCTGCCCCACCCTTCAAACCGATTACTGCTTCACGGCAGAAATAGGCGGGGCGGTGGTACTTACCCGTGCGGACTCACAAGAGGTCCTACCACCAGTAATTACGCAAATTATAATTTTGCGGGTTTGATTTTTATTACACGATATTATTCCTTCACCGTGGAAGTCAATCGTGAACAATTGTTAAGTACGTATTTCATTAGAAAAATTGGTATCCGCCTGCGGGATTCGAACACCGGTGCATCGCTATATACGAATGCACCGGACGTATTATCCCTTAGGCCACGACGACTTCAAAATGTAATGCCTTTTGAAAACAACTACATGTTGGTAATATCAGAAAATATAAATCTAAAATGTAGCTTTAAATCATTTATCTTGAAAAAATCATTTATAGAATGGAATGAGAATCCTGAGATAAAATGTGAAGTAATTAATTTAAAAATTTAATTAATATAACATGAATGACACTTTACCTCAAGCAAATTCCGAACATCCCATTTCTCACGCACCATATTATAATGAGCCTCTCCTCCTCGGACTCGTGTAGGTTCAGAATGTACCAATATCTTTTTAATTACAAACCCCATGCCTTTAAATCCATCCATATCCTAAAGACAATAAATTTGAAAATGTTGTGTTGAAAGAAGTTGAGATTTGATGAGGAACAAAAACAGCATCAATTGAAAACTTACCTGCCTATCCTGCCATAGAGTATCATTATAAATTTTATGCACACGATCAATTAAACTTATCTGTAAAATACAAACTTGCTTTGAGTAATTTACTAAAATTTTGTATCCAAAATTAAACATTACATTTAGTATGTTACCAAATAACTAATGGTGGTTTTGGTGTTGCTAGCTCCCATTTCTTGAAAGAATCTATAGTCAGCCACAAGTAATAGGGGACATCTTGTTTTTGTTGGCGTATATTCATAATCACTCTGTCTCTTAGTCCTCTTTTTTGGACCATCATTACTTGTGTCAGCTTCATTATCTGTATGGTATGAGTTTGTTTGGTCCAAATACTTTTCTTTTTCAAGCTGTTCATGCTTCAATTCTGTATCATATTCTTCTTGCACATCATCACTGTCGTCTTCCAATTCTGAATAAAATAAAATATTATAATTTTTATGTATTCTGTGGAGCAGTCAACATATCCATAGTGTAACTGGTGCCGACTAAGACATAAAAATATCATGGAAGCAATAAAACAGCCTTGACATGGATCTGGCTATTAATTTTCAACTAAAGGTTAAAGTTACAATTACAGTGGAAATATAACTGATTACCCTTCAAAGGAATCTATCATGACTTTATGTTACAAACAGACAGAATAGTTGTATTCACTAATATAAGCTACATTTCAAAATACTAGTATTCAAGTTAAAATTAGACAAATAGGTTCCTTTTTAGAGGAAAAAAATTTTTGTGATTGAATTTTAGGAAAGAAACAGGCAACTCTATGGCGTAGAAATAATTTTTTTATATGAGAGTATACATAGACTTTACTTTGCAAGAAATTATCATGTGATAAAACTAACAATGACTACAATTTTTTTACCTTTTCCCTCTTTAACATAACCACAAACCCGTGGTTTGTTGGGAATTGCATCACCAGCCCAACTGTACCGAATATCAGAAGAACGATAAGTGATCATGCTCTTCCCATCTAAATCAGGCAGATGTCGCCAGGACGGCTAAAATTAAAAAGACTAACATGAAATAAGCCATTATATTGAAAGGTTATTTACTGAAAATTCTTATGCAATCTCTAAGCTTGTATTATTTTAAAAGACACTTAAGTTATGTAGTAGTAAGTATATGTACGGTAGGCAGCGGCTTGGCTCTGCCCCTGGCATTGCTGAAGTCCATGGGCGACGGTAACCACTCACCATCAGGTGGGCCGTATGCTCGTCTGACGACAAGGGCAATAAAAAAAAATTAGATATCTGATTTTTCTCTCTATTTACCTCCACATGATATGTTTCATCAGGTGTATGTATGATTCCTGTCATTACACCATCTTCCATATGTAACTTAACATCTGATTTTGTTTCTCCAAATACTCTGCCAGTGAAGAAATTCTCACGATCTTAAAACAAATTTTTTCTTGACAATAACTCTCATTATTAGTACTGAAGTAAATATTTTAAGTCTTTTCTGCCATATCAAATATTCTTCAACAAAAATTGACTGTGATGGCAATAAGACCTGCATTCATCATTATATATTCAAAAGAAAATGTAGTGTGAACAGTATATCTATTTGTATGTTTATTATAATTATGTATACTTTAGTATACTTACAAGGAAAAATCTTATTATATATTACAAGGTTCTAAATTATATATTCAAAATATGATAAACTGACGTCACCAAAAAAATCACTAATTAAATGTATTTTCATTTGACACTTTCTTACTTTGCATATGTTCATTTGCAAGTAGTATGTTATTAAATTAATAGTAATGAAATGCAACTTCATCATCATCATCATTTCAACCAGTCTACTGTCCACTGCTTCACATAGGCCTCTCCAATGCAGCTACTAACTTATAATTGTTTGAAACATGCACTTACCAACATGCACAGTAGTCTCTTTACCATCAGCATCAACAGAGTAGGCTTTAAAATTGGAATGCAAAACAGAACTCTGCGGGTGTAATATCAATCGAAAGTCTTTTCCCAAGGTCTTGAAGCGAACCTCCTTTATCGTATTATAGGGATGATTAGAAAGTTTTGCACCACGCTTGACAATACTATGGGAGAAACTCGACGCATGTATTGTCTCAAAATATTTCAAATTATGGTGTATAGAACCTTAAACCAATCAGAAATTAGTAACGTTAAATGTTTTTAATTACGAAATTTCAACAATACTCACAATGTCCTAAAACAAACAAAATTGTTAATACAGGTAGTACGAATATCTTCATTGTTTTGTCGTATATTTGAAAGTTCTTTAAACATATGTCTGTAACAAAATAATAATGTATTTTTAAAAAACTTCTCAATATTTTTATTCTAGCAATCACTGTAAAAATAATTTTACTTCTACTCTATAATTTGTGATCTTAACTTAAATAGGTACCTATCGACTTACTTGGTAGATATAACCACAATAAATAAACAAATATGTTTTTATGCTTGAAATAAATTTTATTTTAATTTATTTATTTTTAGGAGATTTTAAAGCATTTCACATTTTTTTAAGGAATTTTATGACCTGGTAACTAAGACCTTTAGGTCAAGTCTTACTTTAATTTTAATGAAAACCTTTTTTTAAGAAAAATCATATTAGGGGATAAAGTATGAAAATGTCAATTTGTAGTTTGTACTGAAAAATTGAAATTCGTTCTTTTTTTTCATTTAACATTTATTTAATCAAAATATCAACCATTATTATCTATACATTGCTGCAATCTAGTAGGAAGGTCATTCATACCTTTGCGATAGAACTCTGGTGATCTAGGCCGTTTTCCAATTACAGCACAAGAGCGCATTATACGGCACAATGTTCAACTAAGCTTCAGCATAATTCGGCATTGTGCGTCACTGAGTCGCTCTTAAGCTCTGTAATTGGAAAACTACCATTAGGTAATAATTAATTACAGAGCATAATGCGACTCAGTGACGCAATTGCTCTGTAATTGGAAAACTACCATTAGGTAATGATTAATTACAGAGCATAATGCGACTCAGTGACCACTTACCATCAAGTGGGCCGTATGCTCGTCTGCCTACAAGGGCATTAAAAAAAAACATTGTTTGAAGTTCGGCACAGTAGACATCTGCAGTTATTGCTTAATCAAATCGGAGAAAGCTATAGTGAATAACACCATGCTGAAACCACCAAACAGCCCCAATACTGGAATTTTACCTAAGCTTATAGGTTATATATTTTATTTTTCTAAATTAAGGTAACTAATTTATTACAGAAACACACAAAGCACTAAGGGTGACTCATAATGATATTACATAAAAAAAAACTAATTAAATTCCAGAAAATGGAAATATCGATTATTATTTTAAATGTTCAAGGAAATAAATTGATTAAATCATTTTGATTATTAATTTTTACCAAAAGTGCCAATATTATCATTCACAAATAATGGATGAATTGAATTTGTTGAATTATCAATTAAACAGAAAATTATTAATTAGTAGAATTAATTAATTATATTGAGCAATCTTGACTAAAAATTTTTTTTTATCTCTTTCTATTCAATGTCATTCACATGTGTCTTTCACGTCGGGCGGTCTTTCACGTGGTTTGTTCTTCAACTCAAAATTTCCATTACGGAAAAATCGGGTGAATGAANAATCTAATATTAAAAAATAAATAAATAATAATTTCATATGTAAAAAAAAAAAGACATGCCCGCTGAGTTTCTTGCCAATTCTTCTCAGGACGGAGGCTAGTTCTTGTGAATTGGCGGTAGTTTTTTTGACGTTCAACAAGTATGTACTTTCATTTATGTTGAATAAAAATTTTTGATTTGATTTGATTTGATTTGACCAAAAACAGCATCAATTGAAAACTTACCTGCCTATCCTGCCACAGAGTATCATTATAAATTTTATGCACACGATCAATTAAACTTATCTGTAAAATACAAACTTGGTTTGAGTAATTTACTAAAATTTTGTATCCAAAATTAAACATTACATTTGGTATGTTACCAAATAACTAATGGTGGTTTTGGTGTTGCTAGCTCCCATTTCTTGAAAGAATCTATAGTCAGCCACAAGTAATAGGGGACATCTTGTTTTTGTTGGCGTATATTCATAATCACTCTGTCTCTTAGTCCTCTTTTTAGGACCATCATTACTTGTGTCAGCTTCATTAGCTGGATGGTATGAGTTTGTTTGGTCCAAATACTTTTCTTTTTCAAGCTGTTCATGCTTCAATTCTATATCATATTCTTCTTGTACGTCATCACTGTCGTCTTCCAATTCTGAATTAAAAAAAATATTATAATTTTTATTTATTCTGTAGAGCAGTCAACATATCAATAATGTAACTGGTGTCGACTAAGACATAAAAGTATCATGGAAGTTATAAAAAAGCCTTGACATGGATCTACCTATTAATTTTAAACTAAAGGTTAAATTTACAATTACATTGGAAATATAACTGATCAAGCTTCAAAATAATTTACCATCACTTTATGTCACAAACAGACAGAATAGTTGTGTTCAATAATATAAGCTAGTGACATTTCAAAATACTAGTATTCAAGTTAAAATTAGATGGATAGGTTCCTTTTTATAGTGAAAAAATTGTTGTGATTGGATTTTAGGAAAGAAACAGGCAACTCTATGGCGCAGAAGTAATTTCTTTATATGAAAGTATACATAGACTTTACTTTGCAAGAAATTATCATGTGATAAAACTAACAATAACTACAATTTTTTTACCTTTTCCCTCTTTAACATAACCACAAACCCGTGGTTTGTTGGGAATTGCATCACCAGCCCAACTGTACCGAATATCAGAAGAACGATAAGTGATCATGCTCTTCCCATCTAAATCAGGCAGATGTCGCCAGGACGGCTGAAATTAAAAAGACTAACATGAAATAAGCCATTATATTGAAAGGCTATTTACTGAAAATTCTTATGCAATCTCTAAACTTGTATTATTTTAAAAGACACTTAAGTCATGTAGTAGTAAGTATATGTACGGTAGGCAGCGGCATGGCTCTGCCCCTGGCATTGCTGAAGTCCATGGGCGACGGTAACCACTCACCATCAGGTGGGCCGTATGTTTGTCTTATGACAAGGGCAATAAAAAAAAAAAATAGATATCTGATTTTTCTCTATATTTACCTCCACATGATATGTTTCATCAGGTGTATGTATGATTCCTGTCATTACACCATCTTCCATATGTAACTTAACATCTGATTTTGTTTCTCCAAATACCCTGCCAGTGAAGAAATTCTCACGATCTTAAAACAAATTTTTTGTTGACAATAACTCTTATTATTAGTACTGAAGTAAATATTATAAGTCTTTTCTGCCATATCAAATATTCTTCAACAAAAATTGACTGTGATGGCAATAAGACTTTTTTTTTAAGACCTACATTCATCATTACATGTTCAAAAGAAGATATAGTGTGAACAGTGTATCTATTTGTATGTTTATTATAATTATGTATACTTTAGTATGCTTACAAGGAAAAATCTTATTATATATTACAAAGTTCTAAATTATATATTCAAAATATGATAAACTGATATCACCAAAAAAATCACTAATTAAATGTATTTTCATTTGACTCTTGACTTACTTTGCATATGTTCATTTGCAAGTAGTATGTTATTAAATTAATAGTAATGAAATGCAACTTCATCATCATCATCATTTCAACCTGTCTACTGTCCACTGCTTCACATAGGCCTCACCAATGCAGCTACTAACTTATAATTGTTTGAAACATGCACTTACCAACATGCACAGTAGTCTCTTTACCATCAGCATCAACAGAGTAGGCTTTAAAATTGGAATGCAAAACAGAACTCTGCGGGTGTAATATCAATCGAAAGTCTTTTCCCAAGGTCTTGAAGCGAACCTCCTTTATCGTATTATAGGGATGATTAGAAAGTTTTGCACCACGCTTGACAATACTATGGGAGAAACTCGACGCATGTATTGTCTCAAAATATTTCAAATTATGGTGTATAGAACCTTAAAAAAATCAGAAATTAGTAACGTTAAATGTTTATAAATACGAAATTTCAACAATACTCACAATGTCCTAAAACAAACAATATTGTTAATACAGGTAGTACGAATATCTTCATTGTTTTGTCGTATATTTGAAAGTTCTTTAAACATATGTCTGTAACAAAATAATAATGTATTTTTAATATAAAACTTCTCAATATTTGTATTATATCAATCACTGTAAAATATATAAATAATTTTACTTCTACTTTATAATTTGTGATCTTAACTTAAATAGGTACCTATCGACTTACTTGGTAGATATAACCACAATATTTATACAAATATTTTTTTATGCTTGAATTAAAGTTTATTCTATTTTGTTTTATTTTTTGAAGATTTTAAAGCATTTTACATTTTTTTAAGGAATTTTATGACCTGGTAACTAAGACCTTTAGGTCAAGTCTTACTTTAATTTTAATGAAAACCTTTTTAAATGAAAAATCATATTAGGGGTTAAAGTATGAAAATGCCGATTTGTAGTTATTACTGAAAAATTGAAATTCGTTCTTTTTTTTCATTTAACATTTATTTAATCAAAATATCAACCATTATTATCTATACATTGCTGCAATCTAGTAGGAAGGTCATTTATACCTTTGCGATAGAACTCTGGTGATCTAGGCCGTTTTCCAATTACAGCACAAGAGCGCATTATGTGGCATAATGCTCAACTAAGCTTCAGCATAATTCGGCATTGTGCGTCACTGAGTCGCATTATGCTCTGTAATTGGAAAACTACCATTAGGTAATGGTAAATTACAGAGCATAATGCGACTTATTGCGCGATATATATGCGAATTGGAAAACTACCATTAGGTAATGGTTAATTACAGAGCATAATGCGACTTAGTAACGCACAATGCCGAACTATACTGAAGCTTAGTTGAGCATTATGCCGCATAATGCGCTCTTGTGCTGTAATTGGAAAACGGCCCATGATTCTACAAACTGTGTGAAAGCATTTTGTACTGCCGCGCATGCCGCCTGGGAAGAAAACTTTTTATTACGTAGAAAATTGTCCAAAACACGAAAACAAATGGTAGGTCTGGCGAATGGTTTCTAATTGCAGTTCCTGTAGAGCTAAAACGGTTTCTCGTGCTGTATTAGATCTCGCGTTATCATGGAACAATAATGGTGAAGATCGATTCATGAGTCGGGGCTATTTCACTGCAAGTTTTGCTATCAAGTTTTTGCAAGTTTTTGCCACGCACCATCCGGCTATGGAATGAGCTCCCCTCCAGAGTTTTTCCCGAGCGCTATGACATGTCCTTCTTCAAAAGAGGCTTGTGGAGAGTATTAAGCGGCAGGCAGCGGCTTGGCTCTACCCCTGACATTGCTGAAGTCCATGGGCGACGGTAACCACTTACCACCAAGTGGGCCGTATGATCGTCTGCCTACAAGGGCAATAAAAAAAAACATTGTTTGAAATTCGGCACAGTAGACATCTGCAGTTATTGCTTAATCAAATCGGAGAAAGCTATAGTGAATAACACCATGCTGAAACCACCAAACAGTTACCGTTACCTTTTTATTGGTAAGCTTTGCTTTAGGACACTGTTGCGGTGTTTGATCTGGGGTCAGCCCAGGGCCGGACTTAAGCTTAATGCCGCTCCCTGGGCACCGGAAAAAAATCCGCCCCAATACTGGAATTTTACCTAAACTTATAGGTTATATATTTTATTTTTCTAAATTAAGGTAACTAATTTATTACAGTTATTATCTTATGAATATAAATTATCTTAAGTTATATATTTCAAAAACATAAAAAAGTATTTGTTTTTTTTGTAACAATTATAAATTTTGCACTAAGGGTGACTCCAAATGATATTACATAAAAAAAAACTAATTAAATTTCTTTAATTCCAGAAAATGGAAAAATCGACTATTATTTTAAATGTTCAAGGAAATAAATTGATTAAATCATTTTGATTATTAATTTTTACCAAAAGTGCCAAAATTATAATTCACAAATAATGGATGAATTGAATTTGTTGAATTATCAATTAAACAGAAAATTATTAATTAGTAGAATCAATTAATTTTAATGAGCAATCTTGATAAGACTAAAAAATTTTTGAAGTGAAAACTTCTTTAGAATCGTGATTTCAAACCGGATGCAACGGAAAAAACGACAGGTAAGAGACACAAATACAAAAATGTGTAAGATGAAGCCAGCAAATAATGAGACAGAAATATACATACTATTTAATACAGCGCCATCTGTGAGATTTTTTAATACTAACGTGTGTATGCAAGCTCTTGTAGTGAATTTTAATTTAGGATTATACGTGAAATTAAAATATCAATTCACAGAGGGCGCTACCTTACAATTATTTACTAATGACAAAATTTTACATATACTTAAGACGTTTAGGATAATTGTATTTTAATTTTGGAAGGTTTCACTTCTATCACGTGTGAATTGCACACATGTTTTTTTTTATTTATTTTTTATTGCTTATATGGGTGGACGAGCTCACAGCCTACCCGGTGTTAAGTGATTACTGGAGCCCGTAGACATCTACAAAGTAAACGCACCACCCACCTCGAGATATAAGTTCTAAGGTCTCAGTATAGTTACAACGGCTACCCCACCCTTCGAACCGAAACGCATTACTGCTTCACGGCGGAAATAGGCGGGGTGGTGGTACCTACCCGTGCGGACTCCCAAGAGGTCCTACCATCAGTGATTACGCTAATTATAATTTTGCGGGTTTGATTTTTATTACACGATGTTATTCCTTCACCGTGGAAGTCAATCGTGAACATTTGTTGAGTACGTATTTCATTAGAAAAATTGGTACCCGCCTGCGGGATTTGAACACCGGATCATCGCTACACACGAATGCACCGGGCGTCTTATCATTTAGGCCACGACGACTACAAATGAAGAATTCCGATGAAGAAATGAAGGGAGAGAGGGGTGGGGAGTTGCGCGAGTGGCTTATATCGCCGTTTTGTGGCCGAGCTGACAACTAGAGACAAGTATTGGCGATTTGTGGCGTGTGGAGAGTCCATGCAAAATGTATGAAAACAACAAACAAGGTCGGTGGTTTATCTCTTTCAATTCAATGTCATTCACATGTGTGGGCGGTCTTTCATGTGGTTTATTCTTCAACTCAAAATTTCCATTACGAAAAAATCGCACGGTGCGTTCATTAGCAGTCACCTCTCCAAACGCAACATTGATATTGCAGCGTTAGTTCCGCGTTGGAATGACTGGAATTGAATTTTCGAAGTATCCATCTTTCCTAGCTTTCTTAGTTTCTAAGCTAAATAAAAAAGATAACTGAAAGTCAATAATCGAAAGTTGCACATTTTTTAAAAGAAGAAAGAACCTCGTACCATTTGAAAAAAAATTCACTCAAAAATCTCAAACCATGAAACGAAATGAAAGTTTCACCAGGACAGGTGGGCCAGCAAAGGTTCAGCCAAGAGGGGTGGGATTTGCTAACAGCTGCCTCCGAAGGACAGACAACAACTTAAGAGTAGCTGCTTTTCGAATGAATCTACTACCTGATGGTAATCGCGACCCGCTGAGAAGCTCCGGCTAGGAACTCAGCGAGCTGATGCATGGGTTAGGTTACACGTTGAGCTCTTTGTCGAGTTCGACGAGTACGGTTACCGGGGTCCCTAAGCTGCTCCTAGTGTTAGAGCTGAAGGCGTCTAATGCAAAGGTTATTGGATCTGATGGATCCGTAAGGACGTTATTAATCTGTATTCCACAAGAGCATTCCCATTTGTACCTCTTATTAGTTGGTGCACACACTTGAATTTTTTTTTTTTAAACGTAGTGTTTTTTAATTATTTGTTTGCTCTATGATATCTTCCGCGAGGCCAACGATTGCAGCAGATGGAGAACAATTGTACAAGAGAGATTTATGCAGTGGGGGAGTCACAACCCTCTGCAATGAGGAGAACGACGCAAAGAGGAGGAGGAATTATTTGTTTATTGAATGACCTAGATTCAGACCGAAGTCAAATCAAATTCAAGCACTTTTACCTAAAAGTGGAATTTACGGCTTAATTTGAACGTGTTTTTCTGGTCCTTCTTAAAATCCTTTTTTAAAGTTACCCAGTAGATTGTATCGATGCACGGACTGGCGCCGCGACGTTAAAATTACACATGATACCATGTATATCACAAATACACACGTTCAAACCCATACTTTTTAAAACAGGGAATTTTTGGTGGAAGCTCGTGGCGTGTTTGAAGTATTTTTTTACTTGGTGTTTTTTTTTTTTAACTTTAAGTAAAGAATAATGGTGTTGTTGAAATAATGGTAATATATGTGACAGTGCATAATTATTTTGAACTATAGTAAATTTAGCTTAATTTATTTGCGTTTCTATTTGTTTTTTTGGCCACAAGAAATGGTTTTGAATCTTCTAATAAAAAAGGGAGTATCCTTTACTTTCCTTTTGCCTATTCAATTCAACAAAACAAAACAGTATAAGATGGCGGACGTCTGAATGACGTATGTGTTGTGTGTTTATGAAATAGTATTTTATCAATTTTATGCCAGATTTGTTATGAAGTGGGGAAATTTTTATCGCTGAATCGCCTTATCTAATTTGTGTCATATCGGTAAGTCATTATTTAAAAATAATTTTGTCTAGAAATTGATAAGTCTCGTGGTTCTCGTAGTTGATTTGCAAGCTGTAGGCGGGACGGACGAGACATCCTCATTAAAAAATGTAAAACCATTCATTAAATGAAAGATAAACACACGGGATAAACACTTGAAGTAAAATTCAATCGTAATAATATTATTTATGGGATATTTATCTAAATCATTAAAGGCATACACATTATAGATCTTTTTGCATATTGTTGTTTTGCGTAGTCTCGTTATAAAAATGGTTTAATTGTTGATATTTTGTCACATTAATAGTATCGGGCTCAATATTTATTTACGTTAATTTAAATGCTGAGAGTATTGGATATTCCTTCCTTCTTGTTATATTAGAATAAAACATGAAAAGAATTTTCCTACTCATTTTATCCAAGACAAGAACAAATGTATGGCTTTTTGTTCTCTTAGATCTCTCTTTAGTTGTTCATAATCATACATCATCATACATACATATCAAAATATCAAATATACAAATGAACCAAAAATTCCCAATTTTATGCAATAAGCGTTTATCATGTATTATGATACACTGTGGGGATCAGAAATTGATTCCAAAATACTGGAGCATAGGTAATAGTCCTACAAGGATATATAAGGGTCGGCCTAAAAAAATTTTTCCTCTAAGTTTCTCATCTCTGGATGGAATGCCTAAAACTGCCTC